ATCTACCTCAGGTTTGTACCAAGGCTTCATTCCCAAAGTGTTCATTGAGAAGGGTCCCCAAGGCTTCCTTGTGGTATAGATACGACACTGTCAGGTCCTATTACCAGCTCCCTCATCCCTGCCTGGCACCTTCAGTGAAAAGCTTGATCTCCAAGGGGCAGGGGAGAAGCAGGCCCACCAGACTACCCCACATCAAGCATCCTCTTTCCCTTTGTCTAGGCTGCTTCCCCTTGTCCCATGTTGGGCTAGGAGACCTGGAATCCTTGCAGCTGGGTAGGGCCCCAGATAATAGGGTGAGCACTGGGTTGACAGTGACCTATTCCTCTGGGCTGGTCTGCAGGCCTTGTGACTTAGACCATGCTGGACGTTCCTACCAGAGACTAGGAGAAATTACTACCTAGTTTTCAGTGACTGTGTGTGCACAAGTGTGTATGTGTGAGTGTGGAGTCCACGGAGGAAGTTGGGTGTCTTCCTCAATCGCTCTTCATGTTACTACTGTGTAGCCTGGCTGCCTCCCAAAGGCATCATCACTATGCCAGGCTATCCATCTTAATTTTGTTTGTTTGTTTGTTTCTCAAGACAGGGTTTCTCTGTGGCTTTGGAGGCTGTCCTGGTACTAGCTCTTGTAGACCAGGCTGATCTCGAACTCACAGAGATCCCCCTGCCTCTGCCTCCCAGGTGCTGGGATCAAAGGCGTGAGCCACCACCGCCCGGCTCCACTTTAATTTTTGAAGTAGGATCTCTCATTGGCTAGCCAATGGGAGCCCCAGGCATCCTTTTGTCCTTGCCACCCCAGCGTTGAGATGACCACTGTGTATCACTGCACCTGGATCCAATGAAAGGTCTCTCCTCTGCACTCTTTGTCTTCCTGAATCCTGAGTGCCGGGATTACAGGCATTCGTGTGTCACCTTGTCTGCTGTTGGGATTGGAACCCAGAGCTTCATGACAGCTACACCTACTCCACTCACTAAGTCACACCCCGAGCTCTGTATTGCATTTTCATAGTAGTTATCCTAGCCAGTGTCCCTTATGCTTAGTGAAGCTGAGTATCTTTCCATTCCATTTAATAAACTTTCCAAAGTTTATTAAAGCTTTGTCATAAAACAAACAGGGTATTCAGTAGTCAAGTCAGAGGTAAATCAAAGCAGGCACCAGACCCTGAGCGCCTCTCAGCACACCCTAGCTGTCCCAGGCTGACACCTCCCAGAGAACAATGGCTCCAAGTCAACTATTGAGAAGAACTCCTAATTAGAATAAAACAGCCAAGAAGCACAATAAAGAGAAAGGGCAGGCTGGACAGATGGCTCCATCAATAACAGTGCTCCTCTCTTCCAGAGGACCCAGTTCAGGTCCCAGAACACATATCTGGTGTCCCACAATGACCTGTAGCGCCACCTCCAGTTACTCTATGGGATGCCCTCTTCAGGTCTCCACAGGCACCTGCACTCATGTGCAGTACCCATGAAAACAAAAACATCTGTACAGCATCTTTTTTTTTTCTTCTTCTTCTTTGCCTGCGCCTGGTGCCTAAGGAGGCCAGAAGAGGGCATCAGATCTCCTGGAACAGGAGTTACAGATGGTTTTGAACCATCATGTGGGTGTTAGGAACTGAACCTGGGTCCTCTGCAAGAGCAAGCAGGGCTCTCAACTGCTGAGCCATCTCTCCAGCCCCCCAAATCAGTTTTGTATAAAGATCTGCCTTCAATGTTGGAAGATCTCACGTTCCTTGTCTCTGCCCCTTCCGTTACTCTCTTTCTAGCATTTTTCCTAGCTATTTACTGTTTATTTCCCTAGTATAAATGTAAGGATCAGTTTATCTGGTGCCAGCCTTGTCTTCCTCCACTGCCTCCTCTTCAGTGGCACATGGCAGGGACTCCAAAACCTGTACTTTATCTTCCAGATGACAGGAGACATGGAAAGCCCAAGACGTCATGAGAGGTCCACCCAGGTAAGCACCTGCTCTCCCACTGTGCTGGGGAATGGCTGGCCCCCCCCATGCCATATTCTTCTGTTCCCTTTCATTCTTTGAGATAAGGTCTCCCTACATAGCCCTGGCTGGCCTTGAACTCAGAGATCTGCCAGTCTCTGTCTCCCAAGGGCTAGGATGTAAGGCATGTGCCACCACCACCTAGCTCTACTACACTTCCTATACACTCCAAGGCTTTAGGGGTGGCTGCTCCAAGGTGATATTCTCATTTTAGTGACCAGGCAGAGAACACCCAGCTCCAAACCCCTTTGTGACTACACAAAGTATTTGTGTGTGTGTGTGTGTGTGTGTGTGTGTGTGTGTGTGTGTTGGTGGTGGTGGTGGTGTGTGAGCTGGAAAGTCCACAGCCTCCTACATTGACCCTCTGCTCTCTGGCTCAGCCCTGAGCTTTGGAACCAGCGAACCAATCATTTGTTGAACTGCTGTAGAGACAATGGAGCTGCATGCACTGAGAAGTGGAGGGACATCCCTTGATCCAGCTCTGCACTGCATGTCTCTGCACTCTAGGGGGCCACTGTCCTTTATTTGGCCTGCTGCAGAGATCAGGAGACCCACTGGAAGGAATCCAACCCTGTACATCAAATTCAGCCTTTCTTTTTAGTTTTTGTAATTAAAAAAAAAAAGGATTTATTTTATTCTATGTGTCTGATTGTGTGCCACCATGCCCAGATCTGAAATTCAACTTTTCATTAACTAATTCAGTTTATTAAATCCAAAAGTTTAAGAATCCTCCAACTGGCTGGGTAGTGGTGGCACATGCCTTTAATCCCAGCACTCAGGAGGCAGAGGCAGGCGGATCTCTGTAAGTTTGAGGTTAGCCTGGTCCACAAAGCAAGTTCCAGGACAGCAAGGGCTACACAGAAAAAAAAAGTGTCTCAAAAAACAAACAAAGAATTCCCCAACTGTGGTCCATGGCTTTAATCCTCCCACTCTGGAAGCAGAAACTTGCTGATCTCCGTGAGTTTGAGCCAGCGTTATTTACATAGGGAGTTCCAGGCCAGCAAGAGACCATGTCTCAAATAAATAAATAAAATTAAATTAAAAAAAAAAAAAACAGGGCTGGAGAGATGGCTCAGTGGTTAAGAGCACTGGCTGCTCTTCCAGGGGACCCAGGTTCAATTCTCAGCTCCCATATGGCAGCTTACAACTGTCTGTACCTCCGGTTCCAGGGGATCTGACACCTTCACACAGACATTCATGTGGGCAAAACATCAATGTACATAGAATAAAAACAAATTATTTAAAAAAACAAAACACAACCAAACAAACAGACAAAAAGAATCCCCTAACAGTCCAGAAAGTTGCTGATTTGTCTTCAGAGCACTATAAGGGATTCACTGTTATAGCCCAAAGAAATTTGTCAAAGTTAGGGTGATGAATGTCAGAGAACAAGCCTGGGAAGATCGCTTGGTCAGTAAAGTACTACATGTAAACATGAGGACCTGAGTTCAAAACCCAGAAGGGATGTAAAAGCTGGGTACCTCAGCATGTACTTTTAATTCCAGCTCTGAGCAGCGGAGTCTGAGACCTCAGGCTTGCTGGCCAGACAACCAAGTCTCATCAGTGAGCTTCAGGTCCCAGTTAGAAATTCTGTCGCAAAAGACAAGGTGGACAGCTCATGAGGAACAGCATCCAAGGTCTTTTTATCTTTTGATGGAGAGTAGAATGAACAGAGCTGAGAACTGACTTGAAAATCCAGGTTTCTGGGGATGGACCAACAAAAACCATATGCCCCTCAGGTCCCGAGCCTGGTAGAAGGTAGTATCCTCTCAGGTCAGCCCCTTCAATGCTCCATGCCTGTCCTATTCACTAGCTGAGTGAGCCCAGGTGCCCACATTATAGAGACCATCACCCCCAGTTATGTCCTTTGTTTTTGTTGTTTTGTTTTTGTAGACAGGGTTTCTCTGAAGCTTTGGAGGCTGTCCTGGCACTCACTCTGTAGACCAGGCTGGCCTCAAACTCAGAGATCCATCTGCCCTTGCCTCCTAGTGCTGTGATTAAAGGCTGTGCCACTATCACCTAGCTAGGCTTAGGAAGAGTTTGGTGTGTGACATTTGTCATTCATGTCTACAGTACATGGGATGTGGGTGTCACAGAGGGAGAGGCCTGGGACCTTGCTATTTTCCCTTGGTGCCTTCTATGACTTCTGGTTAGAGAATTTTTTGGAGATTGTGTAAGGGCTATCTATCGTCCAGTGGTTGTCAGTGGACTCTTTTCAAGACAGGGTTTCAAGTAGCCCGGGAAGATCTTGAATTCTTTTTTTTTTTTTTCTTTGGTTTTTCAAGACAGGGGGACAGTGTCTTGAAGTTTGTCCTGGAACTTGCTCTGTAGACCAGGCTGGCCTTGAACTCATAGAGATCCACCTGCCTCTGCCTCCTGAGTGCTGGGATTAAAGGCATGCGCCACCTACACCAGGCAGATCTTGAATTCTTTTTTTTTTCTTTTTTTTAAGCTTTATTTATTATGTATACACTGTTCTGTCTGCATGCATACACACAGCAAGAGGGCACTAGATCTCATGATAGATGGTTGTGAGCCACCATGTGGTTGCTGGGAATTGAACTCAGGACCTCTGGAGGAGCAGCCAGGGCTCTTAACCTTTGAGCCATCTCTCCAGCCCCCCGATCTTGAATTCTTGATCTTCCTGCCTCTGCCTCCCAAGAGCTGGGATTACAATTGTATGCCACCATACCTGACTGTAATGGTGACCATCGACACACTGAGTGACTCTTTCCCTTTGCCAAGAGGTCTGATGGCATACACATGTCCCAGCTGTTAAAAGCCTTTCTCATCCAGATCTGGGTGGCAACATTGCTCAACAGTTTCTCTGGAGTTGGGGCAATCCTATTCCCTCCCCCACCTTAGAGTTCTGGCTTTCATAAACACACCCAGCTACAGCCAAGAGCCTTTGGTAGGGAAGGGCCTTCCACAGAAGAGGAAAGGTCATCAGCCTGCTCCCAGCAGGAACCTGATCGACCTGCCACCCTCAACTGCAGGAGGGATACATCTGAGACGGCTCTCATCCTGGGCTCTGGGCTGCTCCTGTCTGTAGCCTTCTGGAACTCAGTCACATGGTAAGTGTGCTCTAGACCTTTGGGGTGAGAGGCATGTCGTGAAAGAGCTGGCTTTCCAGTCTTCTCCCAGAAACATAAATGCTTTTCCTTCCAAGGCATCTTCAGAGATTTTGGGGTGCTTCTGGCTACTTTTGGCAGACCCAGTGGGAGAAACTGCTGTCTACATTTGAAGGCAACGAGTCGATCCTGTTCATTATAGGTGAGGTTCCAGCCAGAGGGCTGTATGTTGGACTCCACACTTGTTCTTTTCCCACACTGCTTTATTATCATTTATTATTATTCTATTTTCTTCATATACATGTGGAGGAGGCATGAGCATGCCATGGCATACAGTGTGGAGGTCAGAGGACAACTTGCAGAAGTTAGGTCCCTCCTTCCACCATGTAGTCCTGGGAATTGAACTCAGGCTGTCAAGCTCAGCGCAAGTGCCTTTACCTTAAGGGCTAAATCTGTTTCGAGACAGGCTCTGAAAATGTAGCACTAGCTGTCCCTGAACTCACAGAGATCCTCCTGGGTGTTGGTATTACAGTATGTGCCACTACCTGCCCAACCTGCTTTTTTTTTTTTTTTAAGATTTTATTTATTTATTATGTATACAACATTCTGCTTCCCTGTATATGTGCACACCAGAAGAGGGCACCAGATCTCATAACGGATGGTTGTGAGCCACCATGTGGTTGCTGGGAATTGAACTCAGGACCTCTGGAAGAACAACCGGTGCTCTTAACCTCTGAGCCATCTCTCCAGCCCCCAACCTGCCTGTTTTAACCAAAGTTTTTGCCTCACACTTGTAGCCATCTTGCCACATGAGCAAAGGCTGATTACATCATGGTGCCAGGTCTGTTCTGTCATGTGAAAGATATTCATCTCCTGTGAATAGATATTTTGGCTACTCTAAATGTTTGTGATTTAAAAAAATACTATTTGTTTTATGTGTATGTGTGAGCCTGAGTGTATGTCTGTGTACCATGTTCATACAGGAGCTGGGAGTGATGAAGAGGGTATTGGTTTCCCTGGAACTGGAGTTACAAATGGTTGTGAGCTACCATGTGGGGAATTGAATCTGAATCCTCTGGAAGAGCAGCCAGTGCTCATCCTTGCTGAGCTATCTCTTTCTAGCTCCTAGGTTTTACTGTGATTTTTATTTATTTAGATTTTTTTTTTTTAAGAAAGCATTTCTCTGTGTAGCTATGGCTGTCCGGGAACTGGATCCATAGACCAGGTTGGCCTCAAACTCACAGAGATTTACCTGGCTCTGCCTCCCAAGTGCCGGGGTTACAAGTGTGTGCCACCACCACCACACATGGTTTTCTTGTTGCTCTTTTTTGTTTTGTTTTGTTTGAGATAGGATTTCTCTGTGTAGCTTTGGAGACTGTCCTGAACTCTATAGACTAGGCTGGCCTCAAACTCAGAGATCCGCCAGCCTCTGCCTCCCGAGTGCTGGGATTAAAGGCATGTGCCACCAACACTCGTCTTTCTTGTTATTCTTAAAGATGCTGTATCAGCATTTCTATGCACAAACCTATGTGTATCTGCTTTCTGTCTCTTTTTCACTTCAGGGTCTTTCCAACTATCCCGCAGAATGAGTCTACCAGTGGTCTTCCCACACTGGCCAAGTCCTTCTTGTGTCCTTCCTACCCCAGATACCATGTTTGATGGGGAAGGAAAGAACTAAAGGAAGGGAACAAAGACAGAACTTAGTGAAACAGCCTCTTTGTCCATCGGGATTCCCAATCCAGTAGTTAGACAACACTGCTGTATCCCTTGGATGACTGCCATAGGTGGGAGAGTAAAGACATAAGAATGTGGTATGTGTGTCTTGTTCTGTATTTTCTTAATTTTTATTATTGTGTTTGTGATGTGGGTGGGGACATGCATATGCCACAATATGTGTGTGGAGGTCAGAGGACAAGTCCAAAGTGACTGCTGCTCTCTGCACTTTTACATGGGCTGTGGGGCACAGCTCAGGTGATCACGCTTATCTAGCAAGAGCATTATCCGCTAAGATAACCTGCAGGCTCTATGTTTCTTCTTCTTGGCATAGGATTTCATGTATCCCAGGATGTCCAAGAATGGGCTATGTGGCTGAGGACGACCATTGAACTTCCGAGCTTCCTGTCTTCCACTAGTATTTTCTAAAAATTTGTTTTTCAAGCAGGGTTTCACTGCATCTCCATTCATGAGATGACATGCCAGGCAGTGGTGGCACACACCTTTAATCCCAGCCCTCTGGAGGCAGAGGCTGGCAGATCTCTGTGAATTCAAGGCCTGGTCTACAAAGCAAGTAGAGCCAGGATAGGCTCTAAAGTTACACAGGGAAACCCTGGCTCAAAAAAAAACAAAAACAAAAACAAAAACAAAAAAACAACCAAACAAACAAAAAGCAGTGTTTCTCTATGTTAACAGTCCTAAACAGTCCTAGCTGTCCTGGAACTAGCTTTACTGTAGACCAGGCTGGCCTTGAACTCAGCATTCAGATTAAAGGCATGTGCCACTACTGCCCAGCTTCTAAGATGTTTTACAGAGCACCAGTACTGAGAATAAGAGACCAGGCAGTCAAATTGCTTCACAGTCCAAATGGGAACATTTATGATGAGAGTAAAAGCATCTGTAACTGTGCTGAGAGGGTACAGCAGCTGTTATCCCAGAAGGCAGCAGAGGCAGGGGGATTGCTGTTGAGTTTGGGGTTCATTTGGACTAGACAGTGAGTGATCAAGAGACCCTGTTTCAAATCAAAGGACAAAACAAAACCCCAAATCCCACGTGTGGTGGTACACCCCTTTAATCCCAGCACTCGAGAGGCAGAGACAGTGGGGAAATCTATTATTAGTCAAGGCCAGCTTGGACTACACAGTGAGGTCCTCTGACCCTTTCTCTTTCTTACCCTCACCCTCTCTCTCCCTCTTGTCTCTTGGCAGGGGCACAGAGACAGACAGACAAGCCAGAACAAATACAGTGACTTTTCCAGGCTCCATGGTTAGCATAAGCAGTGAGCCACTGGGGTACCGGGGCTGCTCTAACTCCCTCTGCTCTCTGCCGCAGGTACTGCCCTCGTGCCTGGGCTATGCTTCTGGGGTTTCAATGGCCTTCTACTGGTGGTGGACACAACAGGGAAACCCAACTTCATCTCCCGCTACCGCATCCAACTGGGCAAGAATGAACCAGTAAGTGTCACTGCAGCTTCCAGTTCTGCAAATATAGGGACCAAAGTCAGGGCAAGATAAAGACTTACCCTTGAGGTGACCTGAATCTAGAGGGTTAAAGAAAAGGAGCTGGGCCGGGCATTGGTGGTGCATGCCTTTAATCCCAGCACTCGGGAGGCAGAAGCAGGTGGATCTCTGTGAGTTCGAGGCCAGCCTGGTCTCCAGAGCGAGTGCCAGGACAGCCTCCAAAGCTACACAGAGAAACCCTGTCTCAAAAAACCAAAAAGAAAAAAGAAAGAAAGAAAGAAAAAGGAAAAAGAGCTGGGGTGGTGGTGGTGGTGCTTGGTTGGTAAAGGGCTTGTCTAGCCTCAAAGAAGCCTTGGGTCCCACCCCTAATGCACATGTGGGGGTGTGAAGCTATATAATCAATCCAGTCATTCAGGGAGGTTGAGGTAGGAGGATTAGAAGTTCAAGGCCTTCCTTGGCTGTAACTGTGCTGAGAGGGTACAGCACAGGATGTTTGAAGGTACCTAGGGCTACATAAGACCCTGTTTAAAAGAAAAAGCCAGTGAGATGTTTCAGCAAGGAAGGGGCTTTGCTGCCAAGCTTGAAGACCTAAATTTGATCCCTGGAAGTCACACAGTGGGAGAAGAGAACCATCTTCATTTATTCTAGCCTTCAG